GGGGCGCGGGGGGTGGAGGGGGCGTTGTTTACCACGAGCCGAGCGCGCCCGACCGCTGCCAGGCCCGAGCCCGGGACCGGGGACCGGCCGGCCGGCGGCACGAGGCGGCACGCTAGGCACGCCGTCGCAGCCTGGCGCTGGCCACGAGAGTCGCATCGCACCACCACCACTCTCTACAGATAACCGTCGTCGAGAGACATTTAGACAACATTTTGGGGAACATTCCGTCATTTTCCTCGTGTCCGAGAGAAAGGGAGAGAGAGAGAGCGATACACGGGATGTGAGATGGAAACGAGACACAAAGGCTGGCAGAAGCGTCGTCGTCGTCGTCGTCGTGAGTCACCCGCGCCGCTTCATCACGGTATCGAGCTCGCCTCGCCGGGGCCGGCCGATGTGAGAAAGAGATGGGTGTGTCGGCGTGGCGGAAGTGTCGGTCGCGACAAAGAAAGTAGTGCCCCCGTCGCTCATCTTATTTCGGAAGCAGGAGGGAAGTCCGGGGCGCTCGTCAACTCCGGAACTCGACAAAAAAGACTTCTCGACTATAGTTTATGCCTTTAGGGATCACACCACACCACAACGGCGTTATGCCCTTGCTGTTGTCACATGAAAGACATCGACGAGAATCCCATACAACTCTATACAACATACCTCATTAAGAATAAAAGAAATTTGAGACACTCGACAGGTGGCTTTTGTCCTTGTCGTTATTCTAAAAAGTCCCATTGCGCAGGTACATGTTAATCTTTACCGCCCCAAACGAAGGTTAAAGATATGCGACGGGGCGCAGGTGTTTGAACCCCCTTTCGGACTCTCGCCCTCACCTTGTTGCTCAATATTTCCATTTTGTTGACTCTCGTTCAAGTGTTTTATTTGTCGTAGGGGCGCGATAGGCAGGCGATAGTCCTAGTCCTGCTACGCCACGCGAGTGTTCGCGAACAGCAGCGTTAGTCAGCTGATTGGCTAGGCAAATGCGTATTCTGCTGAATCGCGAAAGTTGAAGGTGATGTAACTAGAGCAAAGCGGTATTGACAGTATACAAAATAGGGGACAAAACAGAATGGAATATGTGTAAGACATCGTGGGCGATTTTTTTTTTTTTTTTGCAAAAACGTATGACTCTTTTATAAAAGCTGGGTCATGTTATTTATCTCGTTTGGCTTTCCACTTTTTCTGAGTGGCGCGGTTTTTTGCAACGTCCTGTTTACCGATCAACCGGTGAGACGTCGTCGTGATTCCACAAAAAAACCTGTCACCAACATCAAGAGAATCAACAGCGCCCACACATGTTGTTTTTACGCCCTTTCCCCGTGTCCCGGTGGCGGTATTGCGCGCAGGATTTAAAACCTTGTTTTCAGGAAGCTGAAAGCTTCAGCGGGGGAGCTCTTCACTTTCTTGGCACATGTTTGACGGGCCGTTTCGCGAGAGCGTTTCGCATGCTGCCCGGCCTAGGGCGCGCCATGTCCATAAACTCTGACATGTGCAGAACAGACACGTATAAGCAGCAGCAGCGTCCATGGGCGCGCACAACTGGGGCACAACTTCGCACAACTTGCACCGCCGTGGCACCGCCCAGCTCACCCGCATGCAGTCGCAATCCTGGGCTGGGCCCATCGCTATTTCCGCCCCTCGACCATCCATTTTTTGGCCGATGTGTGACCGATTCGCCTACCTCATGGTGCCTGCTGAACGGCTTGCGACGCGGTGGTGGGCAGCAGAACGCACCCCCGGGGAGCTCGCGGTGGGGCTGACGCGGCTGACGCGGCTGACACGACGCGGGGCCGGCTTGACGGCGCTGTGCTGGGGGCAGCAGAGGCGCTGGCCGGCGGGGCTCGGCGTGCACAGCGTGTGTGCCCGGCGCGGGGTGCACGGGAATCTCGACGAGAATAGTTGGGGTCCGCGCGTTGTGCAAGCCGCGCGCTCTCGGCCCTGTCTGCTCCCAAGCACCCGAGCGGAGCAAAGCGGAGCGGAGAGCCGAAATACTCGAGCCCGCCATCATCATCCCCCACGAGAAATAAAACGAAACTGCACCGGGGCGTTGCCCCCCCCCCCCCCCGGAATGTACCGGGTGGCTTCAGTGGGACGCAGCAGTATTGCGGGTTTGCATAGCCTCTCGGGGCGCAGGGGTCGCATGACGCCTTACGGGCGTATGGAGTTAGGCAAAACCGCAACACTGCGGCGGTCGCGTTCGCTTTCATACACCTGGTACAAGTTCAAAGAGGGTTAAGACGTTTACATGAACTGAATCACCCACCCATCGGGTCGGACGTCAGTCCGTGACCGGACCAGGTTTCCTGTTCATCAAATCAGTCGCAGCGGCTGCCGACACCGGAACAAAGTCCCTCCCAACGTCTCGCGCATAATTCTGTTTTGTTTTTGCGAATGCTTTGCGCCGTAAAGTAATTCTGTTTTCCTGCGACATGCAGTGCACACTCGAGGCGCACGCTGCAGCGGCGTGAGCGATGACCTCGTCCCTTTGTGAACGAGGCGCTTCAGGTTGTCTTGCTCTGTGTGCTGCAGGTATTATCATCACAGGTTTTATTTTTCATCTACTTGACACCGTTGATAAGATAAGCCCCCTTTCGCGCGGTGAGAAAACACCTCCGCCCGGGCGGGCTACTCGGCAGCCGCACTGCGCCCCATGGCGCGGATACCAGTTCTGGGTACATCCGGCCTTCAAAGTATTCCAACGGTTAACGTGTCCACGTCCTCACCCCTCATCCTGCCGCCCTGCTGCACCACGCGGCTATGGGAGCGGAGCGGAGGAAAGAAAGAGTGGATCTTTTCAGCCCTTCTCGCTCTTTCTGTCTCGCTCTCGCTCGCTGTCTGTCAGTCTTGTGTCGCTGCCAGGACATGAGGTCAGCTATACATTTCCCGGGGGGATGGCTGGCCTGGCCACACTGCGTGCCAGCACCCTCCTCGCCCCCCCCCCCCCCCCTCCCCCTCGTGTGGCCCCCCCCCCCCCCCTCCCCGCCACGCCCGCGACACGCGCTGGGCACGCGAGGCTGCGAGGAGAGCATGGCAACACGCGCGGTCCCGCCTAGGGAAGGGTGGATTATTTCCACGGGAGGAGGGTTTATCATCCCATAAACTTTATCACCTTCAGCGGCAGCAGCAGAGGATCCAGGCAGGAGTGCAGTCGCACTGTGCAGCAGCACATGTCGCACACAAGCGACGTTTGTGTGTGTATGTGTGTGTGTGTGTTTTCGCCGCCCCTGTTTACATGCCATACGGGCAGACTGCGCACTTCCTGACGTCCGCACGGATTCGGTTCCAGTCACACACACCACAGGCCCCACGGGCCGAACGCTGTCGGGCCTTCCACGGAGCGGGCGGGCGCCGGCGGCACTTGTTTACCACCGGCCCCCAGGTGGGACTTTGGGACTTGCACTACGTGTGCGAAGTGGGTGGCGAGGCGTGGCGTGGTGGGGTAACAGCTCGAACGGGGTAAGCAAATCCATACCCCTCCACCTCTCCCCCTCCCCCCCTTTCCCTGGCCCCCAACGCCCGCTAAAAGTTGGGAACAAGGGGCCTATGGTTTGACACCATGTGACGACAGCTGTTTTATACCTTTCACACGACATGCAACGGAACGCAATTTCGATTGTTATTGTTTTGGAAGGGCGAACGCGGCTGTCTGTAAAGGACATCATTTTGACAAAGATTGCTTATTGACGCCTGGGCAATGACCCCGTCTGTCGTCTCGTGTAGAAATTTTGCAATTGTAAGACTATACTTTAATTGAGCCTCAGGTCCCACGACACGTTCGCAATATTTAGAGTGACTCGACCTCTGCTACCAGATCTGCGCGCTGCTGCCTTTGTGCAGAGGTACTAGTTCCAAAACCGAAAAGTTTGTTGGTCACCCACAAAGTGCGAGTCTGCTCCCGCTTTTGCTTCTCCTCAACGGGCTGGCGGGCGGCGGAGGTGCGGCGGTTCCGTCCGCCACCGGCGCTGCGCGGCCAGGCCGCCGCGAGGGGCCTAAACGCGAGCCGGGCCGTGGCGAGCCGGGCCGCGAGCTCCGCGCCGCGGCAGCCGAGCCCTGCCGCCCGGCCAATGGGCGTCCGCGCAGCCTCATGTTGTTGTTGAGCACGCGCTGAGCACGTGGTGCCCCCTCCCACCGCCC